TTTTAGTGGATAATTGTCTAATTGGCAATCATATCAAATCTCATTATTTCTATATTTGAATTAATATGAAATATCCACATATCGTAAAAGTCACCTGACCATGCTTTAACACCAGGAGAGGAGTCACAAATTAAGAGTTGTTGAATATTCCAAGAAGAAATCTGTTATACACATATCATATCATATCCATTTTCATATCACATGAATTGTTGAATTTGCCTGTGAGAAAGTTTAAACAGATGCATTGACTGGCAAGTTTAATAGAATTTTTCACTTTTGTATTGAAAGGTCCACCAAATGCATATGTATCTCGTAAATCCTCTAAACAAACTGGTTATTAGTTATCTGAGTTCTGAAAAGTACAGCATTGATCTCTGTGATCTTTAATCAAGACAGTGAAATCTAAGCTGTTTATCTATATTTCCTGTATTCTCACAATTTCCAGAAATTTGTAATATTTAGATATCATATGAAACACTGATCCAGCACAACATCGGTCTAAATACTCATGCCAAACGCAACCATGGTAATTTGAAACTAATTTTAAAGCTCATAATACAACTTCCTCAATCTACACTTATTTCCAATTACGAAATGGTCCCATACTATGGAATATTCAATAAAGAATTAAAATGTGAAATAACGTTATCTCCATCTTTTACAGAATTTAAATACCACTAATTACAACATTCCAGCTAAAACTCATTAATGATGAAAAAGTACAACATAATCAAGTATCACTCTCCTTGACTTCATCTTGTACATAGATACAGTATACACACTGCATTAACAAGGACTCAAGATTGTGGTATACAAAGAATGGCCTACAATTGAGTTCATACATGATCTTGCAATTGGTACTTTTTCCTAGAAAAAAATAATGTCTCAAAGCAATTATATTTCCTAAATGACTGAAACAGTTCAGTCATAAAATCAAAATTGGAATCTAGTGTATCGAGTACAAAATCCACACATTCAATAAACTCATCATAGATACCAGGATTGAAATTTTGTTTTTGTGCCAGACGCGCGTTTCGTCTACAAAAGACTCATCAGTGACGCTCGAATAAAAAAAAATTAGAAAGGCCAAATAAAGTACGAAGTTGAAGAGCATTGAGAACCAAAAATTCCTAAAAGTTTTGCCAAATACAGCTAAGGTAATCTATGACCATATCAATGATAATTCATGTCAACACAGAAGTGCTGACTACTTGGCTGGTGATACCTTCGGGGAGTAAAAACTCCACCAGCAGTGGCATCGACTAAGTTGTAAATAAACTCATCATAGATACCATGATTGAAATTTTGTATTTGCGACAAACGCGCGTTTCGTCTACAAAAGACTCACCAGTGACGCTCGAATCAAAAACAGTTAAAAAGGCCAAAGAAAGTATGAAGTTGAAGAACATTGAGGACCAAAAATCCCTTAAAGTTTTGCCAAATACAGCTATCATGGTAATCTATTCCTGAGGTAGAAAAGTCTTAGTATTTCAAAAATGTAAAGTTTTGTAAACAGTTAATTTATAATTATGACCATATCAATGATAATTTATGTCAAGACATATACTGCTCCATTATAATTTTGAAAATGCAAAATACAAGTCAACATTTCCATAATTTATGCTATTTCTTTAAGTTACCAGATTTACACTGTATGCTACACTGAAATTAATTGAACTTGAAAACATTCATAATCAATGAATCAGTTTACAAGATATTCTAAGTATAACTTACTGGGAAACTTGCTTGAAAACTGTGTTGGTTTTAAGGGACTTGACTTTAACCCATTTTCAGCCTATTATTAGTTTTATTAGCTAGATTTCAGAGTTTACCAATTGGAGGAAAGTTTAATGATCTCTACTCTATTTTTAAATGTTTCGTGTATGCAAAAAAACCTTCAAGTCGAAATCCTATTTAATTTCAGAAACCTAAGTAGGAAGCCATCATTTGCAGTATTACTGCTTACATCAACAATTGAAATACTTGTTATTTTAGAAAACACAGTTAACCTATTGATAAAACCAGCGGCCTAAGACCCCCAACTATAAAAAAAATATGATTTGAAATAATCGTACAATATAAAAAGTATATTATGAGGTAGTTAGATTCAGTTATCGACAAGGATCATCAAGAAATGACAAGAGGACGCATTCATGTATGCGTTGTTTACTATTAATATCCTTTTGGAAACAAACTATTTCCCCATTTCCTCCTAAAACAAATGATTTCTTTTTTTTCAACAAATTTTGAATCAAACAAATTATATCAGAAAACCACAGATTCCAGTATCACGAGGACGAAGTCCTCAATAACAGTATACAAATCAACATAAAGAAAAAAATCAATAAACAATTATGCATCCAAAATCGACATCTTTTCGCATCTCCAGGTACATGTTTTCTTTTGTCATGATATTGATCTACTAATCGGATGCATAGCAAATTAAATTCATATTTTGTTTTCAGATCAAAGATGCGGTCTTCCATTATTTAATAGCAACAATATTTGGTGGAATCAGTGTCATATTCTGTACAGTCGTGAATGATTGTCCTGAAGGCAGAGAAAGTTTTTAGCCAAAACAAATTTCTGTGACAACTCATCTTTGTATCATTGTTTACCAGTCGAAGAATATAAATTACACAAAATCTGCATTCAACCCGTTCGTCATCCTGAATGTTAAGGGAACTCTATTTCCTGAATATGTTGTCAGTATACCTCATTCAAACATAGATGTTTATGAACTATTTAGCCTTTTGTTTGTAAATTATCGGTCCTGGATACTGTAGACATATAGATTCTACCACTGCATCGAGTGTGATACGATATTTATCCACTCGAGACAGTTAAATTTTTTAAATTTAACTGTCGAGAGTGGATAAATATCGTATTACACGAGATTTGGTGGTGGAATCTGTTTCTCTAATGATTTTCTAACAATATGCAGGCAAAGTTATTCCTTCTTTTCGAATGATCTGCAAAAAGATGTGTTCTTTTTATGTGACGTCATCAGACATGGTCGCCTTTTTTCATGCCGTCACAATAGGAAATTCAGAGGAAAGCAAGAAAATTCGACGTCATAATCGGATTTTAACCAACGATGAACTGAGATCAAACGAACCACACGTTGATTAAATTTTTTTTATACAATAGGTGCAGAAAGGGATAAATTGACGAAGAATTAGAGAAACACACTTATTTGATAAAATTGTGTTAAAATTGAACGTATCGGTACCAACAACCACTGGTTTATATACTACACATTGTGCTCCAACAACACATCATTATTTACCGACATTGGATTGTAAAATGAAGAAATCTTGTAACGAACCAAGAATGTCACCAAATTTTGGGATTATACATTTATAATGAACCTGCTTTCCAGGGAGGTAGACTTAAACTTCACGAGTTCAATGTGGGAACATTGAACAGTTTCTTTTATTATAGAATAGGATTTATTCTTTGTACTTTCGAAAGAATAAAAACCTATCACGAAGAAGAATTTGATAAAAAGAAGATTATCGGACATTTGTTCATTCAAATGTATCATATGCAAACGTGTCATACATTACCGAACTGCATAACCCAGAAATTACAGCAGGAGTTATTGTCGGTATAATTGCTTCTTGCATAGTGATTGCGCTGACTTTTAATATTTGTTGGCGAATGAGAAGTAAAATGTGGGCAATTTTTATCACTAAAAAAGGAGAAACAGAAAGACAGATTCAATTATTAGATACAGGTGAAAATTCCAATCCTTGTGAAATGCAAGTAAACGACAGACTTCAAGATCAATCAACAGTAGTTATGCAAACGGTAGAGACACATAAAAGAACAGAAAATACAAATGACATAGAGACGTTCGTTGAGCTTATGAAAGTCAGAGTAGACCGATCACTAGATATAGAACTAAGTACTGATGTGGAAAATAAACAAGAAGACGAGATAAGAAACACAAAATATACGTCAGATTGTAATATGACTGAACAATCTGGGAAGCAAACGGTGCATCTCAGGGTAGAAGATTATGAACCAAGTTTTTGTCCGTTAAATTCCTCAGACAAATCCCCAATGCCGCGTGAGCTTGAAAATACTGTCCTTTAAGAAGACACAAAAACGTTGTCTGCTGATAAAGACGTTTCTGAATACTTATTGTGATGACAAATGAACAAAGTTCACAGACTACAGTTATCAATGAGAGCCTTATCCATATGTGCAACTGTCAAATATTAAACTGTGCTGTTGTGTAGCATGGTTATCAGATGCAACTGTTTACTATTCGTATTTAATCTTTTAGTCATTACTCATGTTATTTGCATTTCACATTAATGAAATCGCAGTTTTAAAACTCAAATTTTGTCAATTTTAATAAAAAATGCGAATAGAAATGGCCGAAAACATTTCTAAATTTGCGGTACTTGTTATAAAATTAAAACAAAATAATACTTTTATTCGAAATGCATTATTTGTCGCGAATGAATCAAAGCTGTGACTAACCTGAAAAAATATCATAATATAGTTAATCATTTCACAGTTTATTTCGCAGTGCTTGTTGTCCTAATCCGATTTTCAGATAGAGGGCTGCTGCTTACAAGGAATCTATTGAACCATGGGGTCTCGATAGTAAAGCTGATGTGATATATTCCTCAGTTATACAGACCTCATCAGATTTGGTAAACATGTATGGATTTTCTTTGAACAACTTTGATCCACAAATCTGTCAGTTTTGTTTTCGTTTGTGACATCATCACATAAGAATAAAACCAGATGTGTAATTGCTATAAGTAATAAGACTAGGTCCAATATTTGAGCAGGAACAGCTACAAACCCTTCCGGAGTACATTAGTTCATTATGATTTTTATCCTGTTTATGTTTTTCTTGGCCATCTCTCTTCAACCTCAATATGCTATCCCCTCCCTCAAAAAAAAAAAAAAAAAAAGAAACATGCAATCGTTAAATTATAAAGGACATTAATTAACTCTACTAATAAACAAAACTCGGCTTTACGTTGTCTTTGAAGACTTTATTATTCATACAACATTTTAAGGTTCAAAATATAAAAAATACAGTTTAATCAGTCTCCTGATAAAAAAAAAATCACAAGTGCCTTATAAAATATTGTATCACTAAATCAAATCTGATATTATGTGTTATGTAACAGGTACACTTGAAACTATCTAACATGATGAAAATAAAGGTTGAAAACTTGTTTCTTTTTTCTGATTATATAAACAACAGTACATATTTGTAAAAAAGTAACCTTGATTAAGTTTGATGTTGTACAAAGACATATAAATCTCAGTGATATTTCTGGGCTAATATAAATACTTACCATTATGCTGGATAAATACACCAGAAATAAGTATTTTTCTGTGATAACAAAAACATGTAGTAGTCATGTGTGTATTCATGTCAGAACCTTTTTCATTCTTGACAACTTAAAAACAAGATTTTGCTTTACATATTGTTTACTCGATACATTAGGAAATTCCAGAATTTGTATATTGAAAATAATTAATATTTCTATATAACTGGTTAAATTTATAATGTAGTGTTAAAGATCTTATTTAGAATTATTGACAACTGTCATCAATATTGTTTATAAGTACATATGAATATGCATTCAGAAATCTATAAATAATTATCCTTTTGAATATATTGGAGAACCGAATTTTAGCAGGTTTTATTTCAATGCATATTTAAAAAACAGGGGCATCATCAACTTCAGTCAGAAAATTCTACTTTTTTCAGAACAATAAAACTTCCAAAGAAAAAAAAATCTAAATTAGGGATGGGACAAGATATTTTTGCACAAGCAAGAATGACATTTAAGGATATTGAAGAAATACATTTTAAGTTACCTTATAAATAAGTGAAACAAGAGAAAATAAATATGTAAAATATAAGAGCACCATTTTCCTTAGCTAATGAACTTGATTTGTTTTTAATAACTGATTCGTAAAATAATAAGTTAATATCAACTTGAAAAAAATTTGATTTTCAGGGTTTTAACGCCACTTTTAAGCACTGCTTTGTGCTATTTTCTGGCGGCCAGTTTTTATTGGTTGAGGAATCCGGAGTGCCCGGTGAAAACCACCGACCTTCGGAAGGAAAACTGGCAATCCTAGTCAATTAAGATTGGAGTCCAGTGCATCCGCACTAGCGGGGTTCGAACTCGCAACCTCAGTGTTGACTGGCTAGTGATTACAGTAGAAACTACTTAGACCACTCGGCCACCGAAGCCCCTCAACTTGAAAATAACATATTTACATTTTATACCCGCTTGAAATTGAAAGACTCAACACTTATGTAAAGGTAAATTAAACAAATGTACACAAAAAAATATAAAATCAAGTAAAAACCAGGCTATCCTACCTGGAAGCCATCATAGGCATCAAATGACTAGGTATGACATGAACACATCGATGATGGCTTGTACCAATTAACCTTGTGTAGTGAGAAAACAATGATATTTTTAGCATCATTTCAAAATTTCTCTACACATCCAGACTTAACAGATACAAATTGTGAATAATATGGTTTCCCAATACTTTTTCACTATTTATCTGCCATTAATGTTTTTTCGAATCTTTTGGAATAATGATATGAAAAATCTACAAAGCTGTATGTAACATTTCAATACAATATGTACACTAAAAATTGTAATCATATGCATGTTAATTTACAGGAATGGTGATATTTCTGTTATTGCACTTACCTGTATAATTTCCCAATAATTATTCATAACCACAAAAAAAATTATATAAATCAAAAGTTCTAATATTGATAACATCCATAAATGCATTTCCTTTAATTCATGAAAGACATATAAAAAAATCGTATTCAGCAAGCCTAACTTTCTTTTTTGTTTTAAACATTTCTGAAGGTACTTGTCAAGTGTTCTGACAATTTATAGGTTTTTATCAACTATTCATGAAGTGCAATAAATCAAAAGATTTAAAAAGCAATTAATCATGGCAAAATTTAAATTCATACTCAATATTGTGTAAATAAACAAACTTTTGACCCTTCATAATAATAATATTTTCCTGGTGGGTGAAGTTGTCAGACCTTCAATCTCATCTAACAATTCAAATATGTCTACTGATTTATAATGACAAGAAGTAGTCATGGTTTTTATCTTAATTTCCCGTGTGTACTGCTACGCAAATCCCAGTCAAAAGGTGACATTTATGGCTGCATTCAATACATACCCGTAAATAAAATAATCAGTCTACACTAAATTAGATCTTTCAAATTTCCAGCTGAAAATGATCTTCTATACATAGAATCTTTTGCATTATGGCTAATGGCCTACAAAATTTTTGCATCAATCTGGATTCTTGTTAAAATTATCGATACTAGTTATATAACAATGATCATTTCAAAGATTCAACTCAATTTGTGAGGCAAATAAAACAATAGTGTATATATATTATTATCTATCACATCATATGCTATGAAAGCATTGCTGCAGGCATATTAAAACTAAAACTTATTTTGGCATGGTGTACAATTATGTGTTTCAACAAATTTTATGAAGATCATGTCAATACTAAGAAGTCTATGACATTAAAACGTTTGTTGTCATTCAACAATTTGCACTGAGCTGTAAAGACATTTTGTTTTGCAACATCAAAGCTATAGGAACATCTGAGATAACCGGTAATGGCTGACAAATATCAATAATAATGAATGATAAACATATTTCCTACAAAATATATAACAACATTAGTTACTCACAGTAAATAAACAAACAAAAAATCCAATATTAATGCCATGTTATAAAGAACATTACAAATTATTTCTATTATCATACACATTGTTATTTCTTATATCTGACTTTTCTTAGACTAAATACACAGTTATGCATTATAAGTATTTTATCTTATTCTAAAAACATTAATGACAGATAAGCTACTACATGCCTTTGTTTTATTTGAACTGGACTTTGACAGACCCTTTGATTTCTGACCTGCATACAGGACATGATTTCAGGGCCGGGGCACATTGGGAACAGGACGATAAATGACCACAGGGTAAAAACACAATAGAAACAGGCATTTCACAACAAATCTTGCACTGTGTCTGTTCTTTCATTTCCTTGTTTTCATCTGATATCTTCTTTACATTATCTGTTCACAAAAATAACCAATATGACTTTTTGCTTGAAAGTATGTCTTTCTTTGACATAATAATTTCCATTGAAAATATTATAAATTTGAATCCCATTGCAGAATAGGCTTATCAAATTAACGATTTTTGTGTATAACTTATTTATATCACAATCCGTTCAGTGTGATACAAGAAATATCTATTCACCATGTTCACATGGAAACAGATAACAGATAACAGAAAACTACCACAAGAGAAGACAGATTACAAGATATTCTGTATGTAGTCTTTTGTTTTGTGTTTGCTTTTAAATGGTTCGTCATTCTAATTTAAAAAAAGGAATACACTGTTGCAATATTGTTTCTACTCAGACCACAATCCGTGTAAATTACTCCAATTGAACCAGAAAATCTTGCATTTAATTCTGTTAAATCAATAAATGATGGAAGTGACAACATTTTACATGATTTTTATAAATTTTCAAAACATTTAAATGAAAAAAAAAGTTGCTGTTAAAAATTACCTAAGATGGTGAAATTTTACAATCACCAGAAATCTGTTTCACAATGAATGATTTTTACTGATTCATATTTCAATACTGTATAATAATATTTTCCTTTTTTCGTGACATCATAAATGTAAGAAAATGTGTAATTCCATATTGGTATTATTTAAGTACGTTTTCTCTTTATGAATTGAATTTAAATAAAACAGCATATTCACCTGGAGAAAAGTGGTATTCACCGCACTGAATGTCACATGCTTTACCATGTAACGTTATGGTAAAATGTTTGATACACAATTGGTTTGGATATATATTTGACATCAAATACATTGTTTTCTCTCGGAAAAAGGACTAAAATAAAAACTGTCTTTTGTTTCTGTAAATATGTGGTTTAATTGACTTTTGAAAAACTGATATTCATTTCGGCCGTCATCCTCAGTGAATATCAATTTTACAAAAGTAAATAAAACCGCCCATTTACCTCATCAAAAAACAGTATTGTATATTATTCTAAAGCCTATTTTATTTAGAATGTCACTAACCTTTTGAAAGAACTTTTCTACTCTCCATGCTTACTACAGAATGTTTAAATTTAGAACTTATCGGTAAAGTCAATTCTGATTTCGGTATTTCACCACTCTCTTCTATTTTGTTTATCTCTTCCATTAAATTCCTTGCTGACATTCCAATCCAGCCTGAATACAAAATATGGATAGCAGTAAATAAGGCAATTCACTACTGAGTCGAATGCATCAATTGTGAAAAATTATAAAAATAGAAACCTATGGCAATGGATGTTATAACAAATGCTAGGAGTAAAAAATCACTCTTTCACTTGCTCGCCAAACTGTATGTGACCATATGCATATTCTGAAACTTAACCTTTGCATGTATTCCATAGAATGTTGCATTCAAAGGAATCATTTTCTATCTTGATGTAACGTAACTAATAACTTAAACTATAGACATGATTTAAAATGACCAAACTTGATTTAAAAGTCAACACTTTTTCTTATAGAATAAAGATCTCTATTGAAAAAAAAAAACAAATTTGGCAACAGAAATATAATATTCATCATATATTCTACACAATTATTAAACATCTCCATTATACTTCTGCTATCACTATGAGTTCATCAACACACATATACCCAAATATTCGATATGTTTATGATTATAACTGCATTAAGTTGTCTCTTTTATCATGAAAATTATCATACTTTTATAGTTAAATGACTTAATCAAGATTTATAAACTTTATGAATTTTGAAATAATAACTTTCGCTTTTATAGTGGCATCAACCTCATTTTAAATGATCATCAAGTTTGAAAATGAAAATGAGTTTTTTGTGTGTAAGTATGATATTGATGAATCTATGTCTTATGTCCTGTGGAAAACATTACATTGTTTATGTTGTTGAAGGTCGTATGGTGACCTATAGTTGCTACCCTTCTACATCATTTGGTCTCTGCTGGGGAGATCATACCACATCTCCTTATTTTTATATAACAAGTCAGGATGAGAACATGTTGATGTAATTTTAATACGAACTCTGCCTTTTACTAGATCAAGTTGCTGAAGATGATATTCTTATGCTATTTCACAAGGTAACAGTCTCAAGGAAAACATGTCACCCAACCTGGACACATTTTCAAACTCTGAGTAGATCAGTCTTTGCTCTAAATCTAAAATATCCCATATGTCCCATAGCTAACTGAAAACCAGCAAATATAAACTTAAACATCTTTGGTTTGGCCCAGCAAGGGATCAAACTAATGACCTCCTGCACTTCTGGCAATTAAGCACTCTACCTGAAGACCACCTAGACAGTTGTTTTCTGTCGAGGATGATCAAGATATTTGACCAGATAACTATCTATGGTTTGCTTACAAAAAGGTTTTTTCAAAACTTATGGTTAACAGTAAAATAAGATTATCAGATAGTACGTCTTAACATTTTTGAGGTCAACAAATAGGACTATTGCTCTATTTATAATAAATAAAACATAAGTGGAAGCTTAACATGCTTTATTTTTAAAATTGCAGCAAAGTTGTTTTTTTTAAAACTACTTCAATTTTTTTATTATACAACATGCATTACTCAGTATGAACATAAATAAATACTATTTTATTTAAAAAAAAAAGAAAGGGAGGGTTGAAAATATTGTTTAAACCTAGTTTCAGTCTTTGTTATATCAACAATATTGATACATCTATAATTTGGTCAAAAGTATATCATCCTTTTAAAATGGATTCAAACTTCTTATTTCAGAATATGATAACTTGCTTTACATTCATTTTTCATCTATGTTATAAAATCTGCTGCACTATAAGAAAGATCAACTGTAGTATTTATCTATGACTCTTTTCTTGGCCATTTTGATCTCCATCACCAGAAAGCGTAAAAAAATCTTTAAAATGTTTGACTGACTATGTGAACATTTACAAACTTTAACATTTACCATACAATCAGCAAACATTCAGGAAGAAAGATAAATATGACTTTTATTCTTACCAGATGTGCTGACTGTCTGTAAATCTATCACCCTAAGGTAAAATATTTAAATGAAGAGAAAGTGATTTCATGTAGTATAAACATTAAGCTTTTTCAAGAAATCATAGCTGATAAGCATAAAATACACATTGTTTCTGCATGGTACTAAATTAGCAGTATTAATTGCAATTAAAAAAGTTCAAGTAAATTAATGCCACTTAAATACCAGCTTTAATTGGTTTCTGATTATTTGCAATCCAGAATAGACTGGCAACCAAAGAAAATAAATGCTTTGCTATTCCCTATGCTGCATTGAAGCCTTGCTGCCATTATATACTAGTAAACAATAAGTTTTGTCATTGAGATTATATAATACACAGGTCATAACTAGTCAAACGGAAAATTTAGTTATAGACCAGCTATCCCCCTTTCATTTGGCTTCAATTTTTCATAATTGCTGATTTGTAAACATATAACCTTGATTTCAAAAATGAATTTCAAATGCCTTACATTTTTTTCTCTTATTTATTTTTGGATTGAAATTGGGGGAACTATTTGAAAATCATAAAACTAATTAAATCCTTTTACCTTTGAAAAACCCTAGCATGCATGAAGAAATTTAGCTCTCATCAAACTAGATTAAATTTCCTCTGATCAATTTTGGCTTTTACCTTTCTCTTTCAAAACTCTATCAACAACTATTCTAATAACTTTAGGTAAATATCCCATTGTTAGTATACTCTGAGCTGCATCTGTCAGCAATGGATTTTTCTTTTCAGCTTTAGTTGGAGGTTTCCCACTTGGTAAGAAATCTAAAAGTATATTATTCTACAATATTATCAAAGTAATATATTACTTCAAATTTAACATAAAAGTTCAATATGTTTCATATTTGAATGGCTAAATTTTACTATAAACACATGTACAAAGATTTTGTTTCAAAAGAAAATCCTTTATTTTACCCAAATGTTCAGATATTTACTGCTATTGATTTATTGTTTTCTGGTACTCTTAAATGTCAAAAGATTTTCTGTATACATTTTCCTTAACCATGACACCTTTAGTTTGAAATTTGGCAATTGCACAGTGCAAGTGCCGAAAGAAAACCATGATGAAAGAAAAGGTAATTAAATGTGAAAGTTTTTATTATCAAGGAAAGTATTACTCGATTCTGGGGGAAAATAAATAATATACCATATCATTTTAAAATTGTGATGGCAAACTTAAATGAATAAAAGAACAGAGTTCCAATGTCCCCCGCATTGCACATATGTTATCTATCCAAGGTACAAGGGCAATAACTAAAAAATGCACTTTTTTGGTTCTTTAGAACCTTTTAGTAATATCTTAGAGAAATAAAGGCTTTAGAGCAAATGCAATGCGATTTCCATTATAATCAATATTTCCAAGGGGCATAACTCGTTAAAAATATTTGATCAGAACTTTTTTTCGTAAGTGTCAAAGACATTAATAATATGAACCTATGATATAAGTTTCATAAAATTCTGACAAGAATTGAACACATGAGAGCGCTTACAATGCAATGTTCCATATAATCAATATTTCCAAGGGTCATAACTCTTTAAAACAAACAACAAATTTTGAACTCATCAAAGACATTGATGAATGGTTTAGACGTATAATATAAATTTCATAAAAATCTGGCAATAAGTGTACACATTAGAGCGCTCAAAAGGCAATTTTCCATAAAATTAATAATTTCAAGAAGCATAACTCTTTAAAAATAATTAATCGGCACTGATTTTCGAACTCTTCCAAAACATTGCTGATATAAATCTATGATTTAAGTTTCATAAAAATCTAGCAAGAATTGTACAAATGAGAGCGCTAACGATGCAATTTTCTGTATAATTAATTTTTCCAAGGGGCATAACTCTTTTAAATATATAATTGATCGGCACTGATTTTCGAACTCATCCGAGACATTGCTGATATAAAGCTATGGTATAAGTTTCATAAAAATCTGACAAGAATTGTACACATGAGAGCTAACAACACTGGACGGATGGACAAACGCACGGTAGTTCTATGTCCCCGCAACGCTTTGCTCGGGTACAATAAATGGAAATGAATGGAAAATATAAAATAAACAAATATATATCTTTCATCTGACTTATTTTTCAATTGCTCCATGATTCTGTGTGGATTGTTTATCAATAGGTAAACAATCTGTAAACGTCGGTACCATAAACGGTAAAAAACAAGCACAGAGGACCGAGTTTAGTACGTATATATGCATGCCTTGATTCATCAATTTCCTTAACATTATGATTACCAGAAACTAGTTTCATATGACTCAAATTCAAACACCTTAAAAAAAAATAAGTTGGTAATATAAACCTCCGCCTTTGTCCTCTGATCTAGCATTTCCATCTTCTTCACAGTCACTATTGTGACTATCGAAAGTTTGTGCTATGCCATCAGTATTTAAGGCCTCCTCCTTATTAAAAAAATAACATTGAATAATTTCACTCAATAATTGACAGATATTATAAACTAAGAAACATTTTTTTAACCAATGTAATGATACTAAGTAAGATATATAACTTTTTTGGTTGATGATTTTTAAAATGCTTTTGATTGCAAATTTCTTTTTGGTGGATTCACCATAAGACCCTGAATTCATTTACTGTGTTTGAATGGGATTAGTGTTGCTCCATCATGACTTTTCTGGGTAGTTTTTTTTAGCACTGTTGTTTGTGTGTTTGTGTCTATCTTGTGTGTTGTCCATCTTTATTTATCTTGTTGCTTAGGGTGTTGTCCATCTTTATTTATTTTGTTGCTTAGGGTGTTGTCCATCTATCTTCTACTTATAGTTTTTAATTGCGACCTAGCTTGATATCTTTTTTTTTAATTATGAAAGCACAAAATCACATTACTGTGAGTATACCATGGGGACATTTTTCTGATTGTTTGGATTAGCATTTATTTGTTAAAATATAGTTTGCAGATGTCCCGGTTTTGTTGTTGGCTGGCTGTCTTATTGGCATATATCACTCGTCTCTTTTGATCCATATTCACTTATCTGCATAACAGACTTAACAAAAAAAATAAAAGTACAAATAAAAGTGCACATATTACTGTTGTTAATAGATAACTCAAGCCTTTATATGTGTGAATACAGGACAATAGTATTAGCTAACATGCAGACAAGGAAATAAAAGGACAAACAAAGAAAGCTCAGATGACAATATTTAAAGTTAATCACCAATTGTACTCTTCTGACAGCATCTTGTACTGTAGCAATAAAGTCTAAACCTTTTTTGTCTTTAAGAAACTGACATTCTTGTGACCATCTTGCATGTTCTACAAAAGGATTGTCTTCTGAGTCCCAGTTCTGTAGTCCTATACCACAGTGAAAACATCGCACATGATCATTGCTGCCTGAAATTAATATTTCAACAATTATTTTTATTTCTGTTATGACAAATATGACTTTACAAGAGTGCACACGCTGAAATGTCTCGTCTTCTTTATTGACCATTGATTTTATGTTGATAGTCCTAAATAAAAAGCTTTACTAAAAGTATCACATAAACTTAACATGATCCAAGAAAATGACGTCAAGGTCAATTAAACCAAACCGGAAATACATATACACCTTACAATCATTCAATACACCAAATATAGTTGACCTTTTGCTTATAGTTTTTACGAAACAGACTTAAACAGGAAAACTAAACATTGACCAATGAACCATGAAAATAAGGTCAAGGTCAGATGAACCATGCCAGACAGACATGTACACCTTACAATTAATCTATGCATTAAATATAGTTGACCTATTGCTTATATTATCTAAGAAACAAACTTAACCATGAACTTAACACTGAGCAATGAACCATGAAAATGAGGTCAAGGTCAGATGGTACCTGCCAGACACACATATACACCTTACAATCATTCTATACAACAAACATAGTTGACCTATTGGTTATAGTTTAAAAAAAAACAGACCAAAACACAAAAACTAAACACTGAGCAATGAACCGTGAAAATGAGGTCAAGGTCAAATAAAACCTGCCAGACTGACATGTACATCATAAAATATTTCCATACACCAAATATAGTTGACCTATTGCATATAGTATTAGAAAAAAAAAGACCAAAAACACAAAAACTTAACTTTAACCACTGAACCATGAAAATGAGGTCAAGGTCACATGACACCTTTCCAGTTGGACATGTACACCTTACAATCATTCCATACACCAAATATAGAAGACCTATTGCTTATAGTATCTGATATATGGACTTGAAAAACGAAAACTTAACCTTGTTCACTGATCCATGAAATCAGGTCGAGGTCAGATGAAAACTGTCTGATGGGCATGAGGACCTTGCAAGGTACGCACATATTAAATATAGTTATCCTTTCACTCATAATAAGATAGAAATTAACATTACAAAAAATCTTAACTTTTTTTTCAAGTAGTCACTGAACCATGAAAATGAGGTCAAGGACATATGACAGACGGAAACTTCCTAACATAAGGCATCTATATACAAAGTATGAATCATCCAGGTCTTTCACCTTGGAAAATATAAAGCTTTTAAGAAGTTAACTAACGCCGCAGCCGCCGGATCACTATCCCTATGTCAAGCTTTCTGCAACAAAAGTCGCAGGCTCGACAAAAATCAACCATTTTTCTCCTGCTAAATATTTACAAATCTGAAGGTGAACATTTTGAAGTTTGTCACACCTGTAAGCCACATGTTAGAGTGAAACAATTTTTATACACATTACAAATCCTATATTTATCTATTTATAGCAGAGTTGAGCTATCTTGGTTATTTTATTAATAGACAGTTTTTATGATCAATATCAGTTACATTTTTTGTACTTATAAATGGTTAAATGTGATAGTTATAAATGTTATACAAATATAAGTGATTTCCAAAAGTTAAAGGAATTTACAGGATGATTATATATATATATATGCATTAAAATATGCAGGATTATAAACTGTGATGATTCTAAGAGTTCAAATCTGTCAAACATAAGTGCTATTTTTAAACTATGTTTGGGAATTATCAAATCTTACATGGACCCATTTAATTATCAGGCATTCTTATCATGATGTCAAAACTCTGAAATGGCAAGTCTATTTATTATTCCACATTTCTATTTATTTACAAATATATTTTAAAAGTCTTTTATCAAAGATTTATGCTTTTATGGTGATTTGAAAAATAAACTTCTCTCTGTACAGTCTCTAGAAATTTATTCAATTCTCATTGTCAATGATTGTATGAAATAGGAAGTTTTTTAAAAGCATTTGCAGGGCTGTCAGGTTTTCATGAAGCAAATTCGTGAGATTTGGCAAAAAATGTAAAACAAGCATTCTGAGAGTATTGCATGACAATACATAGTCCCATAAGGGTTAAAAATTAATTTTACGGAAACAATATGCTAACTTGATCTATAACCTGTCATGGTGTAAACTATATAACAAATATCAAGTCAATATCTTCAAGCATGATGACAAAAAGTGTGGAAAACTGATTTTTAAGTGAATTTTCTCTAAGTCCAAGGACCATAACTCTGCTCAAAAACATCAGACCGCAACAAAATTCGAACTTGGTATTTCATGATAAAACTATATACCAATTATCTAATCAATATCTTTAAGCATGACAAAAATAAAATGCTTCGCTGAGCGCAGCCTGATACGACCGGAGAGGTCGAAACCTGAACAGTTGGGGCAAATTTGGACACAATATTCAAGCTTGATACTGTCTGAATTTTGATTGTTTCCAAAATCTGACAACATGGTTAGATTCAGCACATAAAAAAACAACAAAATTTAATTTCAGTTGAAATCAAACATAGTTTAATTTTGAACCCTTAAAACCTTAATATAGACTAATTTGAAAACAGGGCCCAAAATAAATTCAGCATATCATACAGCCGCAATAATTCAGTTAATAACAAAGTTTAATGTTTGACCTTTTTGACCTCAATTTTGGCCAATTTAAAAATTGGGCCCAATATCCAAAATAGTAATGCAAGGTAAGAACCCCAAACAATCAAAGACTCTAAATTAATCCCATTGAAATTGGTTAAAAGATTTGTATTTATTTTCAATTGAAGATTTCTTGCTATTGCGGAATACTGTGCTGTTGCTCAATACTGTGCTATTGCGCAATATTGTGCAATTGAAGATTTCTTGCTATTGCGCAATACTGTGCAATTGAAGTTTTCTTGCTATTGCGCAATATCACAGCGCAATACCGTGATACTGCGCAATTGAAGATTTCTTGCTATTGCGCAATACTGTGCTATTGCAGATGTCTTGCTATTGCGCAATACTGTTCTATTTCCCAATACTGTGCTATTTCGCAATACTCTGCTGTTGCGCAATACTGTGCTATTGTGCAATACTGTGCGATTGAAGATTTCTTGCTATTGCGCAATACTGTACAATTGAACATTTCTTCTTGAAGCTTTTCAAAAATTTTCAAGAAAAAAAATATAAACCCCCCCAAAAAAATTGGAAAAAAAAATCCCACCCCCCAAACTTTTTGACCCCCCCCCCCCCCTTGGAGCGATTACCCCCAAACTATATCCAAGCCTTCCCTTTTTGGTATGGAACCTTGAATTACAATTTTAGAGAGATCCATACACTTTAACACAAGTTATTGTCTGGAAACTAGAAAAATACTTGTTTTTGGCCCCTTTTTTGCCCTTAATTCCTGCACGTTTATGGCAAATACCCCCAAACTCAATCCCAGCCTTCCCTTTGTGATATGGAACCTAGTGGTACAATTTTAGAGAGATCCATACACTTACACACAAGTTATTGTCCGGAAACTACAAACATGCTTGTTGTTGGCCCCTTTTTGGCCCCCAATTCCTAAACTGTTAGTACCATAACCACCAAAATAAATCCCAACCTTTCTTTTGTGGTATTGAACCTTCTGGTAAAATTTCATAGAGATCCATTCACTTAAACTTAAGTTATTGTCCGGAAACCAAATTTGTCTTCGGACGACGACACCGACGACGACATGATAGCATTATACGAACGCTAAAAAAATTTTGCGGTCGTACAAAAAGTGTGGAAAACTGATTATTTGAGTGAATTTTCTAAGTCCAAGGACCATAACTCTGCACAAAATTATCAGACCGGAACAAAATTAGAACTTGATCTGTAACTTTTCATGACAAAACAATGTACCAATTATTAAATCAATATCTTCAAGAATGACGAAAAAAAGTGCGGAAAACTGAATATTTGAGTGAATTTTGTAAGTCCAAGGATCATAACTCTGCACAACATTATCAGACCAGTACAAAATTCGAACTTGATTTGTAACTTGTCATGATAAAACAATATACCAAATATCAAATCAATATCTTCAAGCACGAAGAAAAAAAGTGTGGAAAACTGATTTGCCGGACTGACGGATGGACAGACAGACAGACGGACGGAGTGCATTCAACCTAAAGTTCCCTTTGACTTCGTCGGTAAGGGACTAAAAAACAATAGATCAACGGAAAATGCCGCCAAATAAGCATTACAATTCGTGAGTCTGACAGTACTGCATTTGTCAACAAATCACAATCTCATTGTAGCGTGTATTATTCATTTGTTATTTCATGTACACTAGGACTATCTACTTTGGGGTCTATATATCAGTTCCAATTTTCAAATATAGATTGTTTTACATTTGTTAATTTGTCAATTGTCAGGACTTTTTATAGCTTGCAATGGGCTATGGGTTTTGCCCATTGTTGAAGGGTGTATGGTGACCTATAGTTGCTAACTTTAACATCATTTGGTCTCTGGTGAAAAGTTGTCTCATTGTCAATCAAAACACACCTTCTTATTTCTATACGGCAATTTTTTTTACTATTAATCAGGATTCTGTTTCAGCTTTAGGCCAAAAAAGGACACATGGTAAAACTTAGTTAAGCTTACATACATGATCAACAAACACATTTGGTTTGTTATTTGGTTTGAAAAACTAACATGATAAATGAAATTTAGTGCCTTTAAAATTCAAAAACAAAATTTGCTCATACAGTCATAACTTTTAAACAGCTGATTTAAATGATCTTTATTTTTATTTTTGTTAAAATATTATTTATTTAGGACGTACCTGCTCAGTAAATATATTTTGTATACCTGTATAGTAAAACCCAGCCTCTGCCATAGTTTCTGGGTGTTGTTGTATACTGGTTGGCCATGTTTGGAATGTAGACAATCTGATACATGTTATGGAGTATTGAGGATATTTAGGTCCTTTTCTGGAGTTTTGAGAATTGTTAAATGTTGTAGTCCTACTGTCCATGTCACTTCGTGTATTTTGATTACAAAAGTCCCCAGCGTTTCCAGTAAAACTAAGGCCTCCATTCCTGTACGTTGCCGGCTGATCATTTCTATTGAACCATGCCTTTGCTATGTCATTCATTCTATTCATATAAGTTTTCATTTTCTGAAGAAAAAAAAAGTTCGAACGTAATGGAGTATCTAAAGCCAGTAAGGTCACATCTTTCTAAAGATATGTTAGAATAAAATTGAAAATGGAAATGGGGAATGCTTTGATTTCATTAGGATACAATAGATAAATAAATGTGGATAGTGTCCACATGTGGACACAGATGATGCCCCCGCTTGCATATCATATAGTTATAAAGGGACATAACTGAAGAACGGTAAAAGTGACGCTTCCCAAATTTGAACTTGATCTAAGTTTTGTGGTAATAAGCATTGTGTGTAAGTCTCATAACATTTGGTTGAGGTTAACTTAAGTAGAGAACAGAAACTAAAAATTCAGCAATGTTTCTATTTGTAAACACGCATAACTCTAGAATGGTTGTGTATAAGTTTTATAACATTTGGTTGAGACAAACTAAAGTTAGAGAACGGAAACGAAAAATTCAGCAATTTTTATGTTTATAAAGGGACATAACTCAAGAATGGTAAAAGTGTTGCCACCAAATTTCGTACTTAATCTGTATTATGTAGTAATAAACATTGTCTATAAGTTTCATAACATTTAGTTGAGGCAAACTAAAGTTAGAAAACGGAAACAAAAAATGTGTACTTGATCTTAGTTTTGTGGTAATGAATATTGTTTATAGGTTTCATAACGTTTGGTTATGGCAAACTTAAGTTACAGAATGGAAACTTAAAATTTTGCAATCTTTCGATTTATAAAGGGGCATAACTCAATAATGATTAAAGTGACACTACCCAAATTCAACTTGATCTGTGTTTTCTCAGTGGAAGTCTAAATTAAACATTGCATTGTATAAAGCATTGACTGTAGTTGATTCAACTATAATCATGGACAAAGGAAGATAACTCCAATTTTAAAAATTACTTGATATTTAGATGAAAATAAAAATCTTGCAATTTTTCTATTTATAAAGGGGCATAACTCTAGAACAGTTAAAGTGACGCCACCAAAATTCAAACTTGAACTGTGTTTATTGGTAATAAGCATTGTGTATAAATTTCATAACATTTGGTTGAGGCAAACTTAAGTAAGAGAAAGATATTTAAAACTTTTGCACGTTTTCCATTTATAAAGGGGCATAACTCTAGAACGGTTAAAGTGACGCCACCAAAATTCAAACTTGATCTGTGTTTTGTGGTAATAAGCGTTGTGTATAAGTTTCATAACATTTGGTTGAGGCAAACTAAAGTAAGAAAACGGAAACATAAAATTTGTACTTGATCTTAGTTTTGTGGTAATGAATATTGTGTATAGGTTTCAAAATGTTAGGTTGGGGCAAACTTAAGTTACAGAATGGAAACTTAAAATTTTGCAATCTTTCGATTTATAAAGCGGCATAACTCAATAATGGTTAAAGTGACACTACCCAAATTCAACTTGATCTGTGTTTTATCAGTGGAAGTCAAAATTAAACCTTGCATTGTATAAAGCATTGATTGTAGGTAATTCAACCATAATCATGGACAAAGGAAGATAACTCCAATTTTAAAAATTACTTAATATTTAGAAGAAAATAAATATTTTGCAATTTTTCAATTTATAAAGGGGCATAATTCTAGAACATTTAAAGTGACGCCACCAAAATTCAAACATGAACTGTGTTTTGTGGTAATAAGCATTGCGTATAAATTTCATAACATTTGGTTGAGGCAAACTTAAGTTAGAGAACGGAAACTAAAAATTTAGCAATTTTTCCATTTATAAAGGGGCATAACTCTAGAACGGTTAAAGTGACGCCACCAAAATTCAAACTTGATCTGTGTTTTGTGGTAATAAGCATTTTGTAAAAGTTTCATAACATTTGGTTGAGGCAAACTCAAGTTAGAGAACGGAAACCAATTTTGGGACGTTCGTACGTACGTACGAACGTACAGACGGACAAGGGTAAAACTGAATGCCCCACCGCTACGGCGGGGGCATAAAAAAATTGTAGTATATTAATTTTTTGAATATCCAGGATTTTTGGTTGTCTTGTGGTTATAAAATCGAGAATGGAAATGGGGAATGTGTCAAAGAGACAACAACCCGACCAAAGAGCGGAAAACAGCCGAAGGCCACCAATGGGTCTTCAATACAGCGAGAAAATCACGCACCCAGAGCACAGGCACTTGTCTGAGAAAAAAAATGTCCTATATACCTTAATATAACATTAAATTTAAGGTATATAGGACATTTTTTTTCTGACACAAGTGCCTGTGACCCAGAGGCGTGCTTCAGCTGGCCCCTTAACAAAAATGTGTACTAGTTCAGTAATAATGGACGTCATACTAAACTCCAAAATATATAACAGAAACACAATAAAAATGGACACAATATTCAAACTTGATACAGGTCTGAATTTGGATTGTAATTAAATATTTGACATATTATAGGTTTCTGAATAAATGTAGTCAAAGAACTTGAAATTGGTTATATGAATTGAATTGATATTCAATTAAAGATTTCTTGCTGTTGCGCAATACTTAGTATATCTGTTGTCAGACTATAAACAAATAAAATGTATAAAATTTAAAGGGAGCTTACATCAATAGATATAATAATTCACCAAAGTTTCATTAGAATTGCTGAAAGCATTTTAGAGTTATTGTCTGAGAACTGGAAAATCACCCTTTTTTAATGAATAAAACCCAATAACTCGGAATCGTAAAATTTAAAATTTATAAAATTACATAAATAGATATCAACAATTCACCAAAGTTTTATTCAAATTGGTTAAAGCGTTTTTGAGTTAATGTCCGACATGTTGACGACGGACGGACAGACGGACAGACGGACGGACGGACAACGGTATACCATAATACGTCCCGAATAAAAATCATACAAGACTAACAAAGGCCAGAGGCTCCTGACTTGGAAAAATGCGGCAGGGTTAAACAATTTTTTTGAAATCTCAAACCTCCCCCTATACCTCTAGCCAATGTAGAAAAAAAAACAAACACACAGCAATACGCACAGTAAAACTCAGTTAAAAAGAAGTCTGAGTCCGATGTCAGAATACATTATAAATGTGAAATACTGAAACATCTTTAAACGAAGTAAAAATCTGCCGTTTCTTTTATGAAAATTACTTTATAAAAAATTCTACTATTTAAATATAATTAAAAGTATGATATGTTTTTGACTCAATGAGTATTTAATTGTTTTTGTGTGTAATTTGAGAAACATATATCCAGTAAAATTTTACAGATGCAGTGTAACGTAGATCATGTATATATTGTCAAAATTAAGAAATTGATACATGTGTTTGTCGTTCAATATCTTATGTTAACATGCATGAAACATATTTAGTAAAAAAGATAATACCTTTATTAGAATAAAAGATACATGTTTTATGTTTCTCAAAATTCTGTGACACATTTAGTTCATATATATTGATAAATGAACCCTCTTTGCACCCCTTACAACATTATAAATACACGATACTTACACAAATGTTAGAAATCGTAATATATATATTTTTTAAAGCAATACATACATGTCATGTTGGATTTGGTTGTTTTTCTAAGATTAGTAATTTCTAATGCTGTGTTTATGTTTTATTGGATTATCAAGTACACAAAATATTTATAAAGATGAACGTAATTTAAATTGCGTTCTTCAACATCATGTGCCGGTTCACATTTGGATTCCCCTTTACTATATATAGATGAAAATTTATCAGACTAAATTTAGAACATAAAAAAAGAAATTTACAGTTTATTGAGATAACTCGATCACTGAATTAGCTTTTGACGATAACAATTGTTACTGAAGTGTTAATAAATCAAAAAGTAGAATATTCAATGTATTGGAACGAAAACATCACTCAGGAATAAGCTCTGAACAATAAATACTGTGCCTAAAAAATACAGAGAAATTCTCCTTTTTGTAGGTATGCTATGAATAATTAGTTAATATTGAGCATGACAAAACTGTATCTGCATGATTTGTTTTTGGATATATGCCCCCCAAAAAAATAGAGTATCTAAATTGTCAAAACTATATATGGAAATATTGTGAATGAACTACGCTACAGCACATAATTTATGGTTTTGCCATTTTCAACCTGTCCATGGCAGGACTTGGCACACATGGAATATTGTTGAAACAGGCTCTCTACGCCATTGCTGTGTCATGGACATTTATACTCTCTTTGCTTTTATCATAAGACATGCGGTGGCCTCGCGGTCTAGACGTAATCACTCAAATCATTCCGGGGCAATAAAGTCAGGATTCTACTTCGTCAAAATAATTTCCCCATTACGCCAGCTCCCTTACTGAAAAAAATTGCCTCCTGAAAATGGTTGCTGCAGGTCTGCAGCGAACTTGCTGCAGACTTGCAGCGAACACAGAGTCTGTATTTGCGCCATGTTTGCTGCAAATACGCTGCAGGTTTGCTGCAAACAATTTACCATGCAAATGAGTGTTTGCTGCAGACCTGCTGCAAACATTTATATGCAAATGAGTGTTTGCGGCAGACCTGCAGCAAACATTTTTATGCAAATTATTCTTTCAACTGCGTGTTTGCCGCAGACCTGCGGCATTATTTATATTTAAATCAATATTTATCCTGCATATTTGCTGCAAACTTGCAGGAACTACATACATTATTCAATTAACCAATGTCATGTTGTGTACATATCACATTATCTAAATTACACAGCAAATTCTGAAAAAGTTAGGTTACATTCAAACATACATACAATAATTCAAATACTTTTTATAAAATTATCATAGCAAAAGTTTATACCTTTAAAAATTAATTTAAAGTTTGTTTGTTGTTCAAGTACGTGCTCAAATGAATTGCATGCATGAATATCTAAAATACAAAAAAAAAGTTTATTTGAAATTTTTTTTGTGCATATATACTGCTTTTTAATTAATATTGTCAAAGAATTCAACTTGAATTATAACAACATGATATTTAAAAAGTTATAATCTCCAATCATACTTGAGTGTACTGTATATTTGTTACATGTTTGAAAATGTTTTTCAAACCTTCATGCAGGTATTTGTGGAGGGGACGAATTTCGTATGTTTACACTTCTACGAGGAATTTATACTTACAAATAATGTCTTTGAAAACTAAACTTTTAATTTCCTGCTCCCTGAATACTAATTCATTGTATGATAACATGACTCAAACACCTTCAACATTTTCAAATTTCAAATATTTATCTTCCAGGAAGTTACCAATAGGCATGCTCAGTCATTTTATGTAATTCTTGCAATGCTCTTGCAAACATATAGAATTGTCAAAGATTTCTGCAATCAAGCTGCGAACATCCCTTACATAATAGTTTTTCCTGCAATCTTACTGCAAACCTAATTGTTTCTGCAAACTTGCCGCAAGCTTGCAGCAAAAAGATGCAAGGTTTGCAAGAGGTTCGCAGCTAGCTGCAAACTTCTGCAAACATTATTCAAAGAGTTCCTGCAAGCTTTTTGTTTGCAGCAAACCTGCAGCAAGTATGCTGCAGACCTGTTACAAACATTTCAGTTCTGGAAGGGAGTCCATTTTTAAAATCGTAAAAATGGAAGTTATTGTGGGGATGACGCGCTGTAAATTTAGCTCTTGAAAACCGATTAATGTATCCACATAGCACTATTACGATCCTTATACATGGTATATGCCAGTTGTATTTAAAAAAAAAAAGATGTACTAGCTATTGAGCATCATTTAATATACTTTTCTGCATTCAGTCAACTGAAAACTTTTGTCTGATCGGTTGTCAGGTGGAATTTTCGAAAGTTCAAAAACATTTTAAAAAAATCAAATTAAATATTTCATGCAAGGGCAGACCAAACATTTTCAGAGGTTGAAGACCAATAACCCTAGATAACACACACAAACATAAAGCTTTTTTGAATTTATGCATTTTTAAGATCCATTTGTAAAGTCTGTCGTCAAGTACTTTTAGTAAAAATTTGTTATTCGAACCCACCAACTCTGTTGTTATGACTCATTAGAAAGGTATTTCACTTGTCCCAAACAACTATCGCCGGGGGCAGAGATGCATTTTAATGCTTTAGAAAGATCAATATATTATCTATCTGTGGATTTATTTTTCGGCAGAATTTATGCTTATGCACAAAAAAGATCCACTTGGATTTGAACCTACCATAATCGACTGTTCTATGAAAATTTGTCTATAATTTAAAAGTTTACAAATATCTCAAAGCTCCATACTATAATTCAAGTAAAAAAATGTATATAAGATGCAAACAATCCTAAATTATGCACTTTTATTAAACTTTTAAAGCCCATAGAAACAGGTGTAAAAAATTCAAATATACCGATTTGGCTTTTTTCTCCTTCTCTAACAAATTAAAGAGTTCCATTTCTTTTGTTTGATTTCAACTGGGTTTCAGCCTGAATATTATTGTTTCCGTTTCGTAACGAATTAAGTTGTACATTATACAATCGTCATCAGTAACTGTTTTTCAATCGGTTTCTCACGGTGTATTTACCTTAGATATATATTTTTCTTATGAATTCTTTAACAATTAAGCTATTATAGTATTTTGTGTCAACAATCCTCATTACATAATCAAATTTTATCCTATAAAAAATTAGGTTCCACCCTGTCAAGAACATTCAAATAAATGCAATACTAATTGTATGCTATATGTTTAGACTTTAGACATAATTATAATGAGTGTGTCTGAGACATGAAAACATATGAATATTACAAAGTTAATTTATAAGTTCATTTATAAAAGGAACAAGCCTTACAAATATTGGCCAGCTGTTCGTGCTCTTTTATGCTCTATTGCAATTACCAGGGGCATTTTAAGGCTTAAAAAAAGAACTAAATATATTTAGCTTAATTCATTTAAACCACCTTATTCATGATCTACATGCTACAACCTTTTTTTAACTTTTTCATTAAAGGTTGCGATTGTTGTCATGGTAGTCATAGTTTCAAAATATGAAGTTCATAGTCACCAAAGAAAAAGTTGTTTAGCCTCTTTTTTTTTAAATCTCTTTAATTTTCTACCATGTTTCCATGCTTAGTGTCTAATTATAAAATATACTTTCCCAAAGCAAATTACAAATCTCTTATTTCTTAATGCCAGCCCTTTTTTGTTAATCAACTTTATTGAAATAGCTTCACTTACCTTTATTCATTGATGTTTATACATTATTCCATGTTAGTGATCATTTGTAAAGACTTAATTCTTCATGAACTTCATACCGGTATCATGACGGTTAATACATGTAGCAACTCAAATATTATAAATGGCTTAAATTATGCACACGATTATGCCACGTATGTTATTCAATTAGCTTAGTAACCTTCGAACTTCAAATTATGTCAGACATGTGAATGGAAACTGGTATATTAATGTATGTACAACTTCCGAACATGCCAAAATAAATAAATGAATTATAATGTACAAATATTTCTCATCCACAAGTCCTTCAATCTGCCAATTTAAAAAAAACAACAACATTTATATCATGTATATCTAAAAATTATCTATATGTACATGTATGTAGGTTTTAAAAAATTTCAGATATATGGAATTAGAATTAGTCAATATAATACGGTTTTTCCCAAAAAATAAATTATAAATGAAACTTCTCAGAAATCTATCCAGATGGAAGGAAATAATTGTAATATATACAACTGTAATCAATACCTTAGTAAACTAGATGCCAATTCAGGTTTTGAAAAAGGAAAGGGGGGGGGGGGGGGGGGAGCTAAAGTAGGCAATGTTAAAAGTTGGACAATTAATACGTGTATACATTAACCATATATGTAGCAATAAAAAGGTGGGGAGGGAGGTGGGGATCCTCAGGCCCACACAAATCTGACTATGCTAAATAGTCATAGTTAATATGTCAGTTGAAATTTGGTTTGGAACTGTCAGTACTCTTAGGCTGGTACTCTGTGAGTTTCACCACTCAGTCCACTGTCCCAGAGCAGGTGTTAAGTGTTGAGAGAGCATGCATGTTTAAATTAAAAGCAGACCTGGGTATGAGACAGCAAGCCAACAACTCAAAAAATCAAAAAAGATCTAATGACCAACATATGGTCCTCATCAATTAACAATAGTCTACTGCACAATATGGCTATATAATACTAAATTAGCTAGCTGGACTTCACAACTTATCTCGATTCATTATAGTTTGAAGCTTTTGTCCGATAAAGCCATTTCCTACTAATGTGATATTGTATAATAATCATGAAATCCTATATTTAATACATAAAAATACAACTTAATAAGTAATAAAACAGTGTTGTCATTGGGTGGCCTTCGGCAGTTTTCTGCTCTTTGGTCGGGTTATTGTCTCTTTGACACATTCCCCATTTCCAATTTAATTTTATTATTATCATTTAGTAAAATATTGTTTAAAAAAGAGGGACAAAAGATACCAGATATCTATTCACACAGAAGATTTTCAGAAAATGAAATCTTTTCATTAAAATGTTAAATAATTCATAGATTGAAGATTACAATATATCTTATAGATAAAACTAGATTTCAAAGGTGATCTTATTTTTTTATTCAATACATCTATTATGATTATTTGCATGAATGTCTTAAATGCCACTCCGGTAACATTTATATTTAATATTTTAGTTAGTCCAAAAATAGATTTTTTCAATAAGTTAACTTTATATCCTGTCTATCCTACATGTTAAATATATGCAACTAATTTCCACTTTAAAATTACTAAAATAGCCTAACAATTGTTACGAAATCCAGCCAACTTTGACAAAACAACACCATACTATATATATACGCCTACACACTTATCTATAGTTTTATCATTTCTATATATGATTGGTATACAGTCATGATTAAAGATTAGTATGACCTTTCAAAGTAACAAATACAATGAACCTATTTGATTTTTTATTGGTTATTTAAATTTATACTACATGTAATTGTTTTCATAAGCACCTTAAAATCACCTGTCCAATCAAAATGAAGTCAAGGATAGCCATTTAGAATTCCTATTCACAATATTGGAATAATTCAAAATTGTTTACTGTCTCATGGGTGTCTATTAATAGGTCATATGTATTTTAAATTGAAGGATAGTAATCTACATTTTGGGTATACATGTTCATATCTATTTAACAGGAACACTTGGTGACAATGGAGCAAGAGAAGTAAAACATATATGAAATTAAAAAAATCATTAAAATTCAAAGTCCACTTATCAATACACTTCTCTTTCCTGTCACCAAGATTCTCGTTTATTCAATCAATAAAATCTTAGCATTTTCGTAATCAAAATATTCAACTGTGCATTATATAACTGGTCAATTTGGGTCACAATCTGTCTGTTTTAATGGCATTCCATTTAAATTCAAATCTGGAAACAACCCGTTTATGCATACTATAAGCAAGTTAGGGGAAAATAACCAATCATAATGTAGGACATTTAGATATTATGGAGTCGACTATTCAATCAATCTATTTGTGGAAATGGGGAAAAACCAATGTTCAAAAATATATATTTACATATCGCAAGGACGTATAGATATAGATTGATAAATATATGTTCTCGCATATTATTGTGATAAAAATAAATATGACAAATCATACCACATTGAGAGATAAGACATTTTTACAATTAAATCTAGTAAAGTGAAAAATTTGAGACAGTTAAATGGGGAGGAAAAAGTATCTTGTCTTAGGGAGGGATAACGAGGATAAGGATATATCATATTTTGTGAGTACATTTTCATATATTATGATACTTTGCCTTAAACTCTATCTTAATCTTATCTAAGATATGTATATGTATTAATTTATATAAATGCTTCCTATTGACTTTATCAACACATACAAGCCAAAGTAAATTAATATGTATTTCTTTTTTGTGAGTGTCATTAAACTTCTATCAATCAAGTAATTGTTTCCCGAAGTATTGTTCTTTTGTATTTGTTTAATATGAGTAGTTAAAATCGCATGTTACCGCTTGTGGGTCCTTTGGAATAACGTAATTGTTCTATACAAGAACAATAATTGGTTTGAACTAGTATCCCTAGCTATGACTTTAGAAATAGCACAGAAGTCAGAAGTATTTCGTCAAACAAGCCCTAGTTTTTGCATGTAAACCTCTGTGCTCGATGATCCAAATAGAAACCCTACAGACATAACAAAAGGTTCTTCAAAATACCAACATTTTTGAGAGGACAGGAGCGCATAATGATGCTTTAATATAACTAACTTCCTATTGGCTTGTTTGGTAGTAAAACGTAAGTGAAGATTACACTTTATTACAAAGAAATAAGTGAACATTACAAACAAGTTTTGCATGATCTCAATATTGACGACTTCAAGTCTAATCCTCCTGATTGCAACTGTGCTAGTTCCCCAGTCACATATAATCCGGCTGGCCACGTTATTACCGGTGACCTCAACATTGTCAATAACACTTCCCTGCGAAATGTGTTATTCCAAGGTCCGAAATATCGTGAGCCTAAATCAATCATTTTGAAACACAACTTCTAAATACTGATGTATTCGGTCAAAGATTATGCCAGGCAATGGATTAAACGCGAGCAAGAAGTCGTAGATACTCTTTCCGAATGGATTAAGGCTGTGAGGTCGTTGATACAAATCAGAATTAAGAAACTGAATGGGTCTATCAATAACCATGCTACGTCAATCTTTCAAGACCCAAATGTTGCAAAACACTTGTCCTACCTCCATGACAAATATGTTGTTGTCCCCGCATATAAAGCCCCAAACAACATCGTTTTTGTGTGTAAATTTCATATGACTGCTGTACCCATATTTTGACTATTTTATTTATAATGTCTGTTTTGTTCTCGCATCGTTGTAAATATAACGGAATTTGATAAGACTGTCGTACAAGTGAGAGGTTTAGCGCTATAAAACCAGGTTCAATCCACCATTTTCTACATTTGAAAATGCCTGTACCAAGTCAGGAATATGACAGTTGTTGTCCATTCGTTTGATGTGTTTTGTCATTTGATTTTGCCATGTGATTAGGGACTTTCCGATTGAATTTTCCTCGGAGTTCAGTATTTTTGTGATTTTACTTTTCATTAAATAAACTGCTTGATAAAAGAATTAGGTATTGACAATTCATTTGTTAACTCAACATATACCCCCACGATACTTACTAAAGAGAAAATCATAGGTCTGTTCTATGTTCCTTTGGAATTTCAACCAAAGACGAAGAACTGGATCTTCCATTACTGTATTGGATACCTAAACTACATAAGTGTCCATACAAATAACGGTATATATTGCTGAGTCTTCCAAGTGCTCCTCGAAACCTCTTTCTAAATTATTAACATCAATTTTATCAGTAATCAAAGCTTCAAAGTTATTGTGAAACTGCCTATTCTAGAGGTGGCGTGAATCAGATGTGGATAGTAAAAAAATTCAAAGATCTTTTAGAGTACATACAATCTAAGACTCTTTCATCTTGCAAAAGTATTAAAACATTTGACTTTTCTACATTTTACACAAGTAATCCCAATTCCAAACTGAAAGACAAATTAAAAGAGTTGGTATAGCTTTGTTTCAGAAAAAAGTATGGCTAACGTAGATACAAGTATCTTGTCTTAGGGAGGGATAAATCCTACTTTGTAAAAAATCACTCTGATTCAAACAAAAAATTCTCTGAAACTGACATTATCAAGATGTTTGATTTCTTGATTGACAAAATATTTGTTACGTTTGGCGGACGTTTTTTTCAACAAACTATCGGCATTCCCATGGGAACCAATTGTGCCCCTCTTCTTGCCGACTTGTTCCTTTATTCTTATGTGGCTGATTTCATACAGGAACTTCTTTAGGAAGAAAGAAAAGAAGTTAGCAATATCCTTTAACTTTGCTTTCCGATATGAAGATGATGTTCTCTCACAAAATAATTCAAAATTTGGTGACTATGTTGAACGCACCTATCCCATCGAACTAGATATAAAGGATACAACAGATACAGTTAAGTCTGCCTCATATCTTGACTTACATCTAGAAATTGACAATGAGGGTCGGTTGAAAACTAAACTTTACGACAAAAAAGATGATTTTAGCTTCCTAATTGAGAACTTTCCATTTTTATGTAGCAACATTCCAGCAGCTCCTACATACGGAGTATATATCTCCCAACTGATACGATATTCACGGGCTTGTATTTCCTATTATGATTTCCTTGATAGAGGGTTGCTGCTCACAAGAAAGCTATTAAACAAAGAGTTCCAAATGGCGAAGTTGAAATCACCCCTTTGTAAATTTTACGGACGCCATCACTAGTCATGTGTGACACAAATATTCCATAACGGTTAACCAAGTCATGATTACGCCCGTACAATTTCCATAGAGATGACTTCAGACTGTGAAAAAGGTCAATTCGGACTTGTCATTAAATTTCACTTGCCATGAGCAACACGACAAGTGCTACGTACGTACGTACAGACGGACAAGGGTAAAACATAACGCCCCCTCCGCTACAGCGGGGGCATAAAAAAATCATAAAAATCATAGGATCTCTAAAATTAACCTTGTGGATAAACACTGCTGTCCGATTGCTTCCATAACCACTGCTACCGTTTGGTTTAGGTGTTCAAATAGAAATAATTTCCATTTCAATGATTGAAGTGAACGAGTTATTTTTAGATATTCCGAATTGACCTTTTTAACAGTCTGAAGTCATCTCTTGCCACTACGTCCGTCCGTACGTCCCAAAATTGGTTTCCGTTCTCTAAGTTTGCCTCAACCAAATGTGATGAAACTTATACACAATGCTTATTACCAAAAAACACAGATCAATTTTGAATTTTGGTGGCGTCACTTTAACCGTTCTAGAGTTATGCCCCTTTATAAATGGAAAAATTGCAAAATTTTTAGTTTCAGTTCTCTAACTCAAGTTTGCCTTAACCAAATGTTATGAAACTTATACACAATGCTTATTATTACAAAATACAGATCAAGTTTGAATTTTGGTGGCGTTACTTTAACTGTTCTAGAGTTATGCCCCTTTATAAATGGAAAAATTACAAAATTTTTAGTTTCCGTTCTCTGACTAAAGTTTGTCTCAACTAAATGTTATGAAACTTATGCACAATTCTTATTACCACAAAACACAGATCAAGTTTGAATTCTGATGGTGTCACTTTAACCGTTCTATAGTTATGATCCTTTATAAATTGAAAAATTGCAAAATTTTTAGTTTCCGTTCTCTAACTTGAGTTTGCCTCAACCAAATGTTATGAAACCTATACACAATGCTTATTACCACAAAACACAGATCATGTTTGAATGTTGGTGGCGTCACCTTAACTGTTTTTGAGTTATGCCCCTCTATAAACGGAAGAATTGCAAAATATTTAGTTTAGTTTCCGTTCTCTAGCTTAAGTTTCCTTCAACCAAATGTTATGAAACTTATACACAATGCTTATTACAACAAAATACAGATCAAGTTTGAATTTTGGTGGGGTCACTTAAGCCATTCACAAGTTATGCCCCTTTATAAATAGAAAACAATGCAACATTTTTAGTTTCCGTTCTCTAACTAAAGTTGCCTCAACAAAATGTTATGAAACTTATACACAATGCTTTTTACTGCAAAATACAGATAAAGTTGAATTTTGGTGGCGTCACTGTAATCGTTATCGAGTAATGCCTCTTTAAAAATCGAAAAATTGCAAAATTTTTAGTTTCCGTTCTGTAACTTAAGTTTGTCCAAACCAAACATTATGAGACCTATACACAATACTTTTTACCACAAAACTCAGATCAAGTACAAATTTGGGTAGCGTCACTTTTATCGTTCTTGAGTTATGTCCCCTTATAATGTTGTATGCAAGTGGGGCATCATCTGTGTCCATGGGGACACATTCTTCATTTATTTATGTTTTGTTTTAGGTGTAAGACTTATTTTTAGTATGCTTAATGGCCGAAAATCCCTTCAGTATGAGAGTACATTTGTATCTACCCAGTCCTTGTTATGCACTGAAGTACATGAAGGGCAACTTTAGTTAGCGGAAAAGGCTACTGATATATCGCGACAAGAGTTTACATGTTCATGATGTATATTTGGACAGAATAATTATTGAGGCCTTTGTACATATTTTACACTGAATATGAATGTATTCGCAAAAAAATCCATTCTTAGACCGATATTACATATACTACACTTTCAACATTTTACAATGGATTGGATAACTTCGAAACTATTTGCCTAAAATTTACAAAATATGCATTAGATTCTTATATTTACTGATCAAAATGATTAATACACATCTTAAAAAGCAATTCAATTGATATACTGATTTTATTTTCGATAGATAGTCTACCAAGTATCATCAGTGACGTGCTGGACATCAGATCAATGTATCATATGACATATTTTTTGTCAGTATGCATGTTCAAAATGTCTACAAAATCATTCATATAATATTTGGGATTGTCTGCTACAGTAGAATGGTCTTTAGCAACATCGGAAAAGTTTGACAATTGTCCGGTAGGTCAGCAAAGAATTGAACGTCAGAGGGATTTATGCGACAATGCAACATTGTACCATTGCATTTCTGATGCTAACTGTCAACTTCATCAATTTTGTGCTGATCCACAAGAATCACAACCAATGGACACACTCTTTATATTCAGTGGTTCGACACGTAATGAACCTATAGTGAATTTTCCATCCACGAATACGGAGTTGTATGGGGATTTAAGCTTGTTCTTCTGCAAGTACTCTTCAAGGAAAACTTTAAACGAATTATTTCAAACCATCCTTAAACGACTAGATACTAATGCTAATATAATTAATTCATTCAAAGTACCTTGCATATTTCCTGACGATGAACATGTACTACCTACATTGGATAGTTGTGAGATGAAATTTAAATGCGGTAAAACCAGAAAAGTGATGGACTTCAAACTATTAGTATTTCACAATAGAAAATTGATATCCCACGGTTTTGAAATGGGTATGTCAAATCGAAAGGATTTTTATAAAGTAGGGTTTTTACTATGTGTTTTGAATAATGAGAAATTTTATGATTACATATTGGAATTAGAAAGCAGCCCTCCAAACAAAGGCTCTGTCACGAATGGTCCAAGTGATGAACTGTCTCTCTATGGAATAATCGCTGGTTTCCTTGTGCATTTAATTTTATGAGAGAGACAACTAAATATCACAACTTTAAACAATAAACATTACATATATAAACACAACTATTTTTTTTCATGTTCTCTTTTCGCATGCGTGACAACGACTCTCTCCTAAAATCAAAAGTCTTTCATTTCTGTTGTTTAAAACTTTGCTGAAGCATTTGGTGTAAATATTTAATTGGTGCGGATTTGTATTTATTTGACTAAATGTTTAAATAATTTATTTGTAAATGTTATGGAAATTTGGGTTTTTTCAGGTTCTGCTGAAAAATAAGTTTTGATTAATACGGCAACATCTTGGAATGCAAATTAGTAATTTATTTATTTTATTGATATAATTGATATAATTAAGTATGATGGTGAATAAGTATTGTGACGCAGCATTTATATATTAATTTATTTGAGAAGTTGAGATCTTTTTACACATTTATAATTGTTTACTATTGTAGTATGTGTATATTTTATACATTATAACTTATTATATTCAGTATATGACTATTTAGGCTATGATAACTCTCCGTGGAGAAAGATCAACATTACTGCATTCTTTTACTTTTACATTTTATATTTATTTAAAAAGTTTTCTGTCGGTTAATTGCTGTAATTTCTCAAAGTTTTGTTGAGTGTAAAAATTAATGTCAACTTATAATACTGAAGTTATATTGCTTATTTTAGTTTACATATTGTACAATATATTATAACGTTTTAGATAGTCTTTCATACACATGCAACTCTTTTTAGAGTAGCTTTTGTATGTTTTATGATTATGTTTTATTAAATATTGGTATGTTTTTAAAAAAAGTATTGTTTTAGCTTGTGTTGATAATAATAAAATCAATTCTGGTGCTAAAATTATTAAATCTGTGTGTAGACGAACAAGTTGTTAAATGGATATTCAGCTATTAATGTAGATCAAGTAGTGTTTTTCGGGGCGCATTGCATTTGCGCCATTTAAAAAAAAAAATCCAATCTTTCATTAGCACCACAAGGTTATATTTCATTTGCGCCAAAATATAAAAACTGCATTTGCGCCATTTCACAGGTAATGCAGGTACATGTAACATATAACGGAAAAGTTAAATAATCATTGCTGTATCGTGAATAAGATTTGTTTCTACAGTATTTCTCCTGGACTATTGTTCAAACTCATTTCTAATACAAAACTGAGGTTTAGAATTATAAAGTGTTCACATGTTTGAGGTGTATGGACATTGTCATGTCAGAGACAAACAGAGGAAATAAGTCTGTATTTTTTATGATCACCCGTACGGTTATGACGGTATAAAGCTTATCATATATATATGCATCATATAAAAAATAGTTTAGGTGTACCATAAAACTTGCAAAGCCAGCATAACAACGGACAGAAATATAGTTTTACTATAGCTATAGTGTATAATGCTTAGAACTGCATGTCTCGTAATTTTACTCCTTTTTAGATATGTTCAAAGTAACTGAACTGTGTTTTAACTAAGTTTTAACATAACTTGTATGGTTTTATGATGACTGATTTCTGAGGAATATGCTTTATAACGCAAAAAAGCCTTTATACAATTTACCTGTATTATTGGCGCGAATGAAAGTTTATATTTTTGGCGCAAATGAAATATGGTTTGTGGCGCAAATGAAATATTTTTTTTGCGCAAATGAAATGCCAATCGGCGCAAAAGCAAAGTACCGGTTTTTCGCTATCTTTGATTATAAAAGAACAGAACACAATCTGTATTTAAATGGTAAAAGTAAAAATTTAGAGATAAGAATATAATTGGCCTGTAATACTGTTGAAGAAAGTTGTTAGTTATATGTAATTTTTTCTGTTTTTTTTCTCACAAATACTGATGCAATTTTCTTTCCATTATTTTTTTTAACTTTGCAATACTTTGCTTTTTTATTATCTCTGTCCTGCCTTTTTTCACTCTATTCGGTCCAGCCTTTTTTGACAAGTTTATCCTGATTTGTTTTACATAGATTGTTATTCTGCTTTTTTTTTTGCAAAGTATCACATCCTGACTTTGTTTTACTCAAAACTCCTGTCCTGCTTTTTTTCAAATTTCATCGTAGTCCATCCTTTCCCCCATATTGATAAAACGGTAACTCCCTTACATATTCTGACATCGGACACGGACTTCTCTTAAACTGAGTTTAACTGTGCGTATTGCAGTTTTTTTCTACATTGGTTATAGGTATAGGGGATGGAGTGAGATCTTATTAAACATGTTTAACCCTGCTGCATTTTTGCGCCTGTCCCAAGTCAGGAGCCTCTGTCCTTTCTTAGTCTTGTATGCTTGTTTTTAAAATTTAGTTCATTTACATGTTTTGAAGCTTTTAAATATGACATCCATTTTCACTGATGAACTAGTACACATTTTTGTTTAGGGACCAGGTGAAGTTCGCCTACGGATACGGGATTTTCTGGCTGTGTTTAAGACCAATTTGTGGCCTTCATTTTTTAACTCTATGTTTCGGTTTTGTCTCTAACACATGTCCGTTTCCATTCTCAATTTTATACTAAAAATATAAAGATTACGGCAATGAAGAAGACCCCTTCCAAACCCTCATAAATACAAAAACTGTTTAAGTAGATACAAACATTTTATTTGTCTCAATATGATGTTATGAAATAAATATTTTAGAAAAAAATGTTTTAGCATGAAGTGCTGACAACCGGGAAGAAATTGAAGAAAAATTATATTTCTTTTCAGTTTGTCCATTCCATGTCTTATTGAGAGATACGTTTTAATTTTTTTTAAATAAAACATATTCTAATTATATTAAGTTGCATTCACTTATATCATTACTCACAGCATAAGTATGTTCATATTATTGAGCTTCAGTTCGTCAGTCATATATATGTAAATCGCTTCATTAATAAAACATGTCTTTATAAATGTTTACATTTTTACATGGCCATTAATGATTTTGAAGGAATAAAGTAATATCTGTGTCAAATATTTAATTACAGTTCAAATTCAGACCTGTATCAAGCGCGACTATTGTGTCCATTTTGCCCCAACTGTTCAGGGTTGGACCTCTGCGGTCGTATCAAGCTGCGCTCAGCGAAGCAATGTATTCTAATTCTCATATAAAAGCCACTGTCATTCACATACATACTTATACAGTTGTCTGTTATATTGTTTGTATTTTATAGTGTCAAAAATTAAAATAAGAAGATATTGTATGATTGCAAATGAGACAAATCTCCACAAAAGACCAAATGACACATAAATTAACAACCATAATAGGTTACCGTACGGCCTCAATGAGGAATGCCCATACCGCATAGTCAGCAATAAAAGGCATGCAAAACAATCCAAACGAGAAAACTTACAGCCTAATGTATGCAAAAATAATGAACGAAAAACAAATATGTTACAAAGCAACAATCGACAACCACTGATTTACAGGCTCGTTCCTTACTTGAGACATGCCCATAGAGAATGTAGCCGGGTAAACCAATTTGAAGGCCCTAACCCTCCCCCTAACCTGGGACATTGGTGTAATAGCACACCATAAGTACGAACTATACAATTCAGTTAAGAAATGACCATTAAATGTTCAAATAACTATTGTAAATTGTCTTTTGTATATTCAATGACGTTTGTGTTGAAAATCTTTTAAAATAAGATCATCTGCATTTTGGGTTCTATTTACGAGTTTAACAAGTATATTATATCGCTTATATATACAATTGAAAAGATACAAAGTAGGGAGTATGAATAATTAAAAGCAACATGTGTTTCTCCAAACGACCAAAACAACAATCCGTGGTGTAGTGATTAGCACATCAGGCAACATACAAAAAGGTTCCTGGTTCGATCCTCGTTCCAGGGAGAAAATTTCAAGGAACTTAACTATCCCTTGATACCATTTGCGAGTATGGTCTTCAGAAACGATGCTAGTCTGTCTGGAGGGGACGATGAAGGCTGACCCGTATTTAGATAGAGCAACATCTCTTGCACGTAAAAGACACCCCATACATAAATTACCATTTTAATGATAGTCAATTATAATAGGGTGTTCTAGGTGACATAAATAACCGAGTCGGTGACCCGACAATCTAGAATCACATAAAAAAATATAAATGTAAAAAGAGATTGTTATGAATTTCAAATACAATTTGATTTAACCACTGTATAATAAATATATCAGTCTGATTCGTCAGTAATGCAAAATATCATATACAAATTTGAAACCAAATAAAACAAATATGTTAAAATCAAAGGACCTAAATAGGACACCTGAAAAATTTAATAGGTACACTATCACTTTCAGGTATTGATATATATTGACTACGCAAGTAAAAACGGAAATTAAGTAAGTTATTTATTCTACATACCAGACGAAGTTACTTTTAAATTCACCTCAATCTGTATGGTTTAACATTTACTATATCGAAGGGTACTTAGTAAAACGATTTCTAGAAACTAGTAAAATCTACTTTTACTTTCACTTGACGTGTACTTTATATTTTTTGAAAGTCTTACAGTAATTTGAATATAAGTTCGAACGATAGCATTAATACGCTAGTAGTGTTTATAGTTTTAAATTTCTAACTTATTATTTTTCCTTTTGGAATATTTACTAATATCAAACATACATTACACATGCATTATACATACATATGATATAATCATATATACGACAAAGTAAATAAAAAAAAACAAGGAATAAAACAAATGGGAAAAAATGTCAAATGGGAAAAATACTTAATTTGTGTCCTAATTTGTGTTCATGAAGCTTTCTTAACTTAGTAAATATTGCATTTTTTGTCCTAAATTTAGGACATCTAATTAGATGTCTTAAAATCTTCCTATCTTAATAATAATTTGAAAAAAAACCCACAGAAAATAATTATTTCAGAAATTCACAGTTTTGGAAAATATAAATTCCGTAATAAAACGTCGAAAATATGAATCTACAAACGAATGCGAAACTGAATTTTAAATCAAATGTAAAAAATATATTTATGGTACAGAATTTAAAGAGTAAAATTAAATGTACCAATTTAACTGCACCAGATGCGCAGTTTCAAATGCTTTGTCACTGATAATCGTGACCAAATTTATTTGAAAATTTAAAACCATTTTTTTTTAAGAGCCGATAAAACTGAAGTATAGTCAACGTATCAACAGTAAAAGCCCTGCCCATTTTATAAATCGAGATACAATATGTTTTGGAATTCTTTTAAAGTAAAATTTGCAGTGCATATTTCTGTCTGTTTGTTTATCCATATTGGCTTGAGGTATAGGAGGAGGCTTGACGTCTCACAAAACATTCTTAACCTCGCCGCATCTTTGTGTGTCCCAAGTCAGGAACATCTGACTTTTGTTAGTCTTAAAAGTTTTTTATAACTTTGGTTCATTTATATTTTTTGGAGTTTAGTGTGACGTTCATTTTCACTGAACTAGTATACATTATTGTTTAATGACCAGCTGATGCCCGACTCCGGTTCTGGTTATTCTGCTTTATTGTTGGCCTTGGCTGATCTCATTCTCATTTTCGTTTATGCTTACCAAATACTTAATTAAATCATTACTACCTTATAAAGTAGTTTGAACAGCTATGGCAATTAACAAATCTGACGTCCATAGAGGGAGAACATTTTTGATGGTTTGCGGTTCAGAACACCATGTCTAGGTGAAAGTGTTGTACATCTTTTCTAATATGTTTTATTCATACCAAGAAGTAAATTTGAAGTCTACAGGAGGGAGAGGAGATCAATTTTACAAGTAGACGAATGTAGTCTTTTACTCATAAACACAATTTGCTAATATTAGTGGAATTTATTGTACTAATAGTAGTTTATCTCATTTGAACGAAAAGAAATTGTACCCTTTTGTACTTTTGGTTTCGTATAAATGAAAGTAGATAACATATTTAAATATGTATTTTCTGTAAAAATGATATTTCCGTTATTTATTTCAACTAAAAGAGTTTCCTAGTTTACAGTATTATTTTTTTCGTATACATATGTTTCTTAACTAAATAATGTAAAAGTTAGATATTTTTAAAATTCTAATTTACCTAAATTTTTAAGTCTTTTAAAATTCAAGTCATTACGGATAACAATTCAAGTCAAACACCTCAACTTTCCTTGTGTGATTTCCTATGTATGTCTCACATTTTTGATGATATTTTTCCTATAAACCTATTAATCACGAAAGAATACTGATTTGAAAACAAAGAACTTGTAACATATGCACAATGTAGCATGCTGGGAAATTTAGTTATTGTCTTTATATTCATAATATTCATGTTTCTTTCGGGTTTGAACTGTTTCGGTTCTAAGACAGCCTTGGTTTTAAAAAAATCGATTTTGAGCGTTCCTTATGAAGGTTAATCCAGACAATCGCCTCCATTAGTTATGATTACTCGACTCTTTCCTTTAAAACTCGATTAGTGTTAGGGGTTTAATAAAAAAAAAAAGATGTAGTGTGATTTCCAATGAGACAACTCTTCACAAGAGGCCAAATGACACAGATATTACACACCATAGGTCACCATACGGCCTGCATCACTAAGCAAAGTTCATACCGCATTGTCAGCTATAAAAAGCCTCGAAATCACAAATGTAAAACCATTCAATTGAGAACTTACGGCATAATTAATATACAAAAAAATGAACGAAAAACAAATATGTAACACAGCAAGAAATGACAAAATACAGATACTGGCGGGGTTAAACATATAAGCGGTAGTAGAAATGGCCGTTGACTTATACATCACAACAACAAAAAACAACCCACTAAATAGATATAAGAAGATTTGGTATGAGTGCCAATGAGACAACTCTCCATCCAAGTCAATATTTATAAAAATAAACCATTATAAGTCACAGTACGGTCTTCAACACGGAGCTACGGGCCCCAAAAAAATTACTAGTGTAAAACCATTCAAACGGGAAAACCAACGGTCTAATCTATATACAAAAACGAGAAACGAGAAACACTTATGAACCACATCAACAAACGACAACTACTGAACATCAGATTCCTAACTACAGATCTGAGAGTACTCGCAGTTACACATAAAAATTAAAATTCTCTACACCTTAAGCTTGTAATTTGTTTTACTGATATCCTCAACTTAAGATCAATTCTTTTATTAAATAAGAATTAAAATTTTCTATACCTTAACCTTGTTAAAACCCTTACTAAATTGTTCCATAGATATAAAGATTTGGTTATTAAGTTCGGTTGTATCTGCATAAAAATCATTTAAAATAAGTTCGTATCAAAGCAACAAAAAACTACAACTCGCATTTAGCGGATTGACTCTAAATGTCTGCACAATCCTTGTAGACAAATTATTCTGTTAGAAAAAAGTCTAGTGGGTTTTTGAAACCACTGGATATTTTTAACATTTACCTACACCTACACCTAAGCATAGCATATTTAATGCTGTTGTTTATAATTCTGGAAGTTAGTAGACTACATCAGCATAATCGAGCTGATAAAGGGTTATCAAGCTGAGACGTACGAGGAGCACTCGATCAAGGTTTATCCTTTAGAGTATTCTTTAATGTGCTTTTTACTATCTGTAATATGTATCATATTTAAGTGATCGTGTAAAAAAAAATGCAACACTTATTAAACTCTTGACAGTGGTTTCTCTTTTAATAACTTTAATTATTTTCAACTATCTTTTCAAAAGGTTATTTAGAAACTGTTCAAATAACAATTGTTTTTATTACTTTATATCCGAACAGTACGAAAAGGACATATGGTATGATTGCCAGGGAGACAACTATCCATCAGAGTTGAAACGAAGTCAATGTAATCAATTGTAGGCAACAGTTTTTAATAGACAAGTTCTCATACTTATAAATTTGGCAGCATACATTTATATAATCTTGTAATTAGTTATTCGTTAACTGGATTTATGTTAC